TCCCCGTTTCATGGCAGTCAAAGCAACAGCAAAGCAGAGGCTGACACCCCTATTGCATTGGACGGTCAGCCGGTCAATGGTTAGCCATGTTCTGACCATCCTTGGATGCAAGACAGGATGGACCTGGGAAGGCCGCTTCGAACTCATTAACTAGGACCGCGTGGGGAGGGAGCGTTCGTCTCCAATGAGAAGGAACCACCATTGTAAGGAAGGCGCTCCCAAGAATCTCTCCATAAATGATAAACGAAACGAAAGTTCCAGGAATGGAATGACGCATTTTGATGCACCGGCTTGCTGCGAACCTTGTATTATTAATCTCAAAGGCAAGGCTGCTCGATAAAGCGTGGCCAAAAAAATACCCTGGCTTGGCAATGTTTCTGCAAAGTCTCTCGAAGAGGTTGCAGAATGTTCCAGTCGCCAATGCGCCAGGCCAACTGTTGTGGAGGTATCAATATCAATAGCAGTAGACTTATATACCGCTTTATAGGGCTTTCAGCCCTCTCTAAGCGGTTTACAGAGAGTCAGCATATTGCCCCCAACAATCTGGGTCCTCAGATTGGAGCTTAGAACCGATGTGCGCACCTCGCAAAAGTGAGCGCAGGAAATGGACCCCGCTGACGTAGAGGTTTCTTTTCAGTTTCTCCCCAAATTAAAAGGGGGAACAACTTCTCCTGCACTGCTAAGCCAGCATCTTTGGCAGGTTCAAGTCCCCTGCTGTAACCACTGCGCTGCCTCTCGCTTTGCAGCCACTGGTTCAAACGTTGAGCCGTGCAGTGTGGACCTTCGCCCCCAAATACAGCATCAACTATATTGTTTAGGTGAGGAAGAAATCTAAAGTCACCGTTTAGCAATAGCAATAGCAGTAGCAATAGCAGTTAGACTTATATACTGCTTCATAGGGCTTTCAGCCCTCTCTAAGCGCTTTACAGAGTCAGCATATCGCCCCCAACAACAATCCGGGTCCTCATTTTACTCACCTCGGAAGGATGGAAGGCTGAGTCAACCTTGCGCTGGTGAGATTTGAACCGCTGAACTGCAGATAACAGTCAGCTGAAGTGGCCTGCAGTACTGCACCCTAACCACTGCGCCACCTCGGCTCTATAGTCCTCGACTTTCCACATTTGTTTAGCGACCGTTCCGTGTTACAACGGGCACTGGAAAAAGGAATTTACGGCTGGTTCTCACATAGCCACATGATCACAGTCATGAGATGAAAATTCAAGCGCCTGGCATGTATTTAAGTTAGTTGCAATATTGGTTGCACAGATGGGTTTCGGTTATTTTTACTACTGGTTTGCCCCGTACTTGCATGCTTGCTTCCCCTGCCCGCCTTCCGCGCATGCGCTTTGCTCTTATGTGCACCTTCTGTGCATGCACCTCAAAAACATGGTTACATAGGATGGCATAATGCCAGAGCAGGTGGGTGATCTGAGCTACCAGTTCGTCCGAACCGACTGAATATTACCATGAGCAAACGGGCTAGAACCCACCTCTAGCACCTCCAGTGGCTGGTCGAAGCCCGAGCCAGTCTCAACCGCCTGAATCCCACCACTGATTTGACCTCTAGCTGGGTGTAGCATACCTGAAACAAACCAATTAGCTTTTTTAAGATAGAAGAGATGGCAAAACCTCAGTTCTGACAGCTTGGCATTTAGAAGAGGCTGGCACACATTTCTGAAGATGTGTATCTCCTACCTCAGGGCAAACCTACCGTTTTATCAAGGTCATATCTCTTGGCAACTCTATGAATCACGGAAGGTTTGCCATAAAACAATTTTACATGCTGCAAAGCAGGAAGGACCACAACGGGGCCCAAAATTTTGGCTGCTAAGTGAAACATTTCTTCAGTGAATTTTGACCCATTCTAGGACTTTGCTTGCCACTGTTGTGAAGCGAATCATTGCAGTGAGTAACAAGGTTGTTAAGTGAATCGGGCTTCCCCGTTGACTTTGCTGGTCGGACGGTCGCAAAAGCGGGTCGCATGACTCCCAGGACACTGCGGCCGTCATAAATATGAGTCAGTGGCGAAGCATCTGAATTTGGACCATGTGACCATGGGGATGCTGCGACAGTCGTAAGTGTGAAAAAAATGGTTGTAAGTCACCTTTTCCAGTGCTGTTGTAACTTGGAGCAGTCACTAAATGAAGCACAGTAGCAAAGTAATTATACAGCCTTTTGTATTGGCATTCATGTTTACACATTTATACATTTGTACAATTACTTTTATATTGTTATGGACGTCTTGTTTTTTTTCTCTTTTCTTGTTGGGTTTTTCTTTCTGTTTTTAAAAGTAAAAATGTTTAATAAAAACTTTTTTGAATAAATAAATAAATGAACTATTGTGAGCTTTTCACCTGGGTTGAAAAGCTGCTTGTCCTTCCTCTTGGCCTGCAACCTAAAAAAAAAAGGCAGAATAAGAAATATAATCTCCGGAGTCGTTGTGGGAGTTGGGAGGCCATGGGAAAGGAAGCCTCTTGGAAACCACCAAATAACCTGGTTTGCAATTCTACCTTGATGGCATGTGGGGAGGAGACTTGGCCTAGAAGGGCTGAGGAATTCATTCTTCAGCCCCTCTAGGCCAGCTCTCCTCCCCACAGAGTTTCTTCTAAAATCATTTTTTGGCTTTAAAACGCTGGAGAATTCTGGGAGTTGAAGTCCACAAGTCTTCAAGTTGCCAAGTTTGAAGACCTCTGACATCAACACACACGCAAACACACACAGACCCTGCTTTCTCCATGGCTGTTGTCCCACCCGCTTTCCATGCCAAGGGGGTAGCCGGTCATCCGCAGCTTCCTGATGGCCATTCATTAATCCAACCTGCCCTCTCCACTTCCTCTCCTTGCTTATAAAAAGAGGGACCTTTCCTTGGCAGTAGGGAAAAACGGCAGAAAGACTGGGCGATCATGGCACCCGCGAAAGGTCAACGCCGTCTCTCCCTGTGCCCGGGGCCTCCCGTGGCCACCATCCCTTTTGGGGACCTGCTGGAGGAGGTCGGCAGCATGGGCACCTTCCAAATTTTCTCCGTCTTCTTCCTCTCGTTGCCTGTTCTGTTCCTGGCCAGCCACAACCTGGTGCAGAACTTCAGCGCGGCTACTCCGGAGCACCGGTGTAGGCTGGCACGGACGGGCAACCTCACCCAGCAAGAGAACCTGGTGCCCCTTGGGCAGGACCTGAAGCCGGACAGTTGCCGGCGCTTCGCAGGGTGGGTGGCGCCCGCCTCTAACGACACAGCGGGCAGGGAAGTGGGGCTGGAACCCTGCCTTGACGGGTGGCAGTACGACCACAGCACCTTCGCCTCCACCATCGTGACGGAGGTATGTTCGGAGGTCACTTCCAGCCTCTCTTATTTACTTATGTTTTCTTTATTTATTTACTTATCTGATCAGTCAGTCAGACAATCTGTGGCATATCCTACATGGGCTTGCGATATGTACCCAGATTAAAAAAACACACAATAAAACATGAATATTAAAAACATCTATATTAAGATTCAGCGGTTGGTACCGGCAATAGCAATAGCAGTTAGACTTATATACCGCTTCATAGGGCTTTCAGCCCTCTCTAAGCGGTTTACAGAGTCAGCATATTGCCCCCAACAACAATCC